GAGACGCAACCATTTGCACGAAGCTGCCAGAAACGCGCTGGCGAACACAGAGTCCTCGGGCACGAAGAGGTGGCAGAGCTTTAAGGAGCCTCTGCGGTTGATGTTGCAGATCTTCCAGGGCTTGAGCGAGAGGAACGAGGACTTCTGGTTCCGGGCCGTTGGGTACTTCTCACGGATGGAATACCAGGCCGGCACAGTCCTGTTCACGAGAGGCGAGCCCGCCAAGGGCTTCTACCTCGTGGAGAAGGGCATCCTACGCGCCGATTACGACATGCCGCAAGGCAAGCTTACAGAGAGCATTGTAGCAGGCACGACGTGCGGCGAGCTGCCCTTCTTCTCGGAGACGGACCGGACGGCCACGGTGACGGTTGATAGGGACTGCGTCGCCTGGCGGATGGACAAGGAGGGATGGCAACGGCTGCAGAAAGATCAGCCGGATGTTGCGCAGGAGTTGTTGAGAGTTTCGTTGAAGTTGACGAGTGAGCGGATGTCCTCCATCACTTCGTACATCTTAACCACTGCCGGCTAGGCAACTTACGGACGAAGTATCTCTCACGCGATCACCGAGCGCGATTTATCGAGATACTTTACCTATTTCTTTTTCTTTATGTCATTGGAGTTGTAAGGATACTAAAAAAGTAGAGAAGGCTGTGTAAAAGGGTTTAGGGTGTCTTTACTTTTCCCGGTACATTGATTTTGGACTTCCCGTTAGCGAAGGTTGTGCTATTTTACATACTTCTTGTTGTTTATAGCTTTTACTCCCTTGTTGGAGTACCTACCTACCTACTTACCTGGACATCAGGCATCACAGAGTGCGAAATACTCCTCCCTCTGTGCTTACAGAAGAAGCAAGAAAAAAAAACTTTAACATCAACAAGAGGATCGCTTGTCTTGTAACTTTGAGTCTGCTCTTTCGTTCTTGGTATTGTCCTTTGGACTGTTGAGTGAGCAGTGACAAATTGATAAGAAGCGGATGGAAAAAGAGTCGAGTCAGGAAGAGACAATGTCTTGGTTGGTTTTGCCGGGGTGTCTGAGACCCTTTGATTTCCGCCCAAACGTTGGTTTGTTTTTGTCTCGGGGGGACATGTTTTGGTGTCGTGTGCTCTCTTTATTTTCATTCTCTATTGTTGGGAGCATCGCTCGCTATGAAATTCTGGTAGCTGTGGTGATGTTGACGCTGGGCTGTTTTGGCCCGCGTTCCCCGTATTCTTCTGGGTTGGTCTCATCAAGGGACGGCTTCTAGGCTCGTGTGAGGTTTGGTATTGTTATGTTGCGTCTGACGTCTAGCTGGTTCTATGACATGCCCGAGTCCGTGACCTTGATGGCAGGCTGGACTTGGGGATGGGCAATCGTATGGCTCTTGCTGTCTTTCGTATTATTTGTTTTCTATATCCTGTCTGGAGTGGGATTCGCGGAACCGCAAGCTTGAGCTTGGTGCGCTTTCATAGGAGTGAGTCGGAGTCTTCTTCTCATATCAGGCAGACGCGGGACGAAGATACCTGTAAATCCCGAGTTAAGAGACCTGTGTCGTCGTTTCCTTGGACGTATCATCTGGCATTCTACAAAAGCTAGGTAAAGGACGTTTGCTGGAGTCGCCTAGCTATGCTGCGTATCCTGGATTTCAATTCGAGATTCCCGTAGAAACTTGGCGGCAGCTCTTGGGAGCTTGGAACGGGGAGCGACCAGTGCTCGATGGGTCATGGAGATGAACTCACTCTTGGCCAGTATAAAGAATACGTGATATCTTTTGTGCAGTCAGGAATTACACGCGTATCTCTCGTTTTCTGGCATGTCGAGGTTGACTTTTTATTACTCCGATCCCTAAACCGCCAGGGGAGTACCCTTGAGGGATTTGTCTCTGAAGCCTCCTAACTAGAATATCCAGGACCAGTGAAGAGTAGCGGAAATGTCCAACCATGCTTTGGCATTCTACGATACTAGATGGCGAGGAGCTCGGGAGCCATACCAACGGCATGAGAAGACCACAGGCATCATGAACACAACGGGACGTGGCGTGAGAGTAAACCAATGTCTTTCTACAAGCAACGATTAAAGATTGCTCGCCACTAAGTAAAATCGACACCGAGAACAGTGATTTTGTGCCAGTATCACCTCGCGGAGACTTCCAAATATTCAGATGAACATATGTTGAGGACTTTTGAAGAAGCATATCAGTCATCCCCGCGGTGAAATTACTCTCCACAAGTTGCGACGCTTTCGCAAGAGACAAGAGCTCCCGGTATAGAGGGCATGGTCGCGACTTATGAGTGTCATGCGAGCCTCGAGTTTGATGACTACACGAAACGCAGATGCCCGCGATATAGGTACTCGGGCTGCGGCATGATTAAGCAACCGGGCTCTATTCTCAGCCACAGTGAGAACCATATTGGAGAAATATGCTACGGTCTGACTGACAGTGCCGTGGCTTTTCTCGCATTGGGAAGCGAGGCTGTCTGAGAGCTTGGTTGTGATACCTTTACAGAGTCAAAGCCTTTAGTCGAGCCCCGACGACTTCGTGAGGTGACACGTAAACGCTAGAGGGGCGGCTCGGAGCCATGTACGATTCCTAGGACTCGAGAATGATATCAACGGGCCATCGACCTCGACTTTCATACTTATCGAGAAGAGTGGCAGGTTTCTTGGTGGAGCCATAACCGAGGTAGGTCAGGAGAATCGAGATCTAAGGCGGGCTTCTGCCTCTGCAACCGTGTTACGACCTCTTTGTCATATCCCCAGAACTCTGTCATCGTTGAACGGAATTGGGCAGAATATTAAAGAGAAGAGGGTAGCATGTCGCCTTTCTTGCAATGAGTACGACCGACGCTTTAATACTCGAAGGATATGTTTCACAGTAGAACTCTCAATGGAACAGAAAATTTGACTTTTGGTAGTCTGAACCGCACAGAACATCCAAAGAAGCCAAATGCTGCTATACGATGAATCGGCAATCAGCAGCAGTCGTCGCCGTCGTCGATAAGAGGACCACATGAGGATTGAAGCATCACGACTCTCAGAGGCGGAGGCGGAGGCGGGCGATGCAGCACACTCAGTAGGAGACCTGGTAACTGATTTCTGCGACACTGAACGGAGACCAAATGTTGATAATAGGAGACTCCAACGTCGGCAGTTCCGGATGCGAAGGCAGGCCGTACTATTCTGGCTTTGAACGCTACGGAGAGTGGGCGCCCGACTTGCTAGAGCCCAGTTCCATCCATGTCTTGAACGGCAAAGAGCGGTTGAAGAATCGTATTAGATAGAATAGTAACAGTTCTGTCGACGTAGGACTCGTTTGTCACCCGATACGTAGCTCTAGGATACTGGGCACGGTATGGAGAGATACTTGAGCGCAGCAGAATGTGCAGCAGCTCTGGCGGTAGTCTCACGCAACATTCGGCACCGGGTCGCAGAAAGGTATCAAGGCCCCCCTTTGTTGTAGGTTCGGGACGGATACGGGACCCTTATAATTCATTGCAACGCAAAGATCCCTCGTCGTCGAGGAGACCAACATCATTGCCGCCATTTTAAACATTCGCCGTAGCTCTTTTTTTGCAGAAAAGAGTTCAGATGAACCTCCTAGACTCCTCCCCCTTTTAGGCAAACTCATTGCGTTACATCCCGATGTCACCGCCGTCCAACATCAATGCCGTGCCGAAGTCTGGTTCTGCCTGAATTCTGGGAGATTAATGCGTGCAACCTGGGGGCCGGATTCCGACGATATAGCATTCACCACGATAACACATTATCAAATGACGGTGCTACCTCAACTAGGATGGGTGGAGGAAACCAAAAAAAGGGGGACGAAAAGAGAAGCAAAAAGGACAATGGCCCTCGGCCATCCTTCGTGTCGAATGCAGAGGAGCGGCATGTTCGGCCCGGCGTAACAGCGCGACGGCGAGACTCTCTTTTCAAGTCTTATGTGCTCACGTAGCCGAGTTGCAACACTGACCGGACTGATGATACTCACAAGGAAAGTTGCGGCCGCAACTCACCAGCAACCTTCCATTGAAGACAACGTTCAAATTTCGGCCGTCAACCAGCTCAACGCTGCCCTGGAAAAAAGTCGCATTTTCAGCATGATGAAGTAACGAGCGTCGGCGCGTTTTTGCAGAGAATAATTGTTACAATTTCCAACCCATAAGCACAGTATAGGATACGAATTTCAGTAAAGATTGCCAAGCTTCGGGTTTGATGTTCGTCCCAAGATCGATGCTCTTAGGGTTGGCGAGGTATCTCTTTTACTGTGCTAGAACGAACGTGGACGTCCTCTCGTCCCAACCCTCTGTTCCAGAACTGATTCTCTCCAAGAATCTAAGCTTTGTGTAACAATGCGAGAGAAGTAGAAGCATTTCACCTGTCATCTTCTTCTTCTCCGATACCTCTTCGGTCCTTCGCCAACATAGCCGAACCATAGCCAAGGAAGCCGAAAGAAGAACAGACGGACCGGAACTTGACATACTCTCACCCCCTATTCTGGGCAGAATAAGACAGACTTCAGGCAGAAAAATCAAAAGGCCACGGACCGGTCAGCCTCGTTGTCTCTTTTCTCATCACGTAAATTGACAGCTTTCTTGGCGAGGGCCCGAGTTGCGACTACTTACTTGTACCGTGACTGCTGATTAACAATACTTTGTCCTCTGAACGAAGGGAAATCTCACGCAGAAACTAGGACGCGGCACCGAGTCGTTGGATTCGCCACCACCAATACCAACCAAAGGAAGGAGGGACGAAAAAAGGGTCCTGCACCCGAATTCTACACCCGGAAGGGCGCGGCGGCGTACGTGCGTCAATCCGTCAACAGGGCATAAAAGCACGAGTGGAGCCGCCCGGACTTTGACGTACCGGAAATCCCACGTTCACACTACACACCCAGGCCATCCGTACGAATCCTCAACCTTATTTACCTCTTCTCTCATTTTCTTGCGACGTTGTCATTTTCCGAATTACGCTAGGGAACACGCCTAGAGAAGAATGAGAATAAAAAAAAGAAAAAGTAATAGAACATGAGCTTGCGGTCAATATTAAGCGGCGGCCGAGTAAAGAAGCCAAAACCAAAGCCGAAGCCATCAGCTTCGCCGCGGAAGAATAGCGGGACAAGTAGCCCCCGTAAGTCTGCCGGCGGCAGGAGCAGCAGCGCCAAGAGGAATACAACTACCCCATCAGACGTCCAAGATGACGACGGCGACTACGACGACGACTTCTTCCACGACAGGCTCGACGACGCAGGGCTCGTCGCGGCGCTGGCGACGGACATGTCGCTGCGCGACGTCGTCCAGGCCATAAAGTACACCCGCAGCCGCATGTTCGGCCCCGTCCCCACGGAGGCGGCCGGCATGAACTCCACGCGCATCGCCGAGGTGCTCAATTACCGCAGAGCCATGCCGGGCATAGTGACAACATCGCACTTACACGCCCTCCTCGCCTCGCCCACGGCGGTGGAGCGCGAGGTCGCAGAGTTGCAGCGCGGCGGAGCGCTGCGCAAGATCTACGTGCAACGCCGCGGCGGCCTGGGCGAGGCGCTGATCCAGACGTCTGAGCTGGAGGACATGATTGCAAAATCGGCGGAGCTTGACGACGACGCGAGGTCCGCGTATGTCAAGTTCCTGAGAGAGAACCCGCTGGCGCAGACGATGCCGCGACTGGCTTGCGGCGGCCATATACAGGCCGATGCCCTGGTGCGGGCCGGGTTTCTTACATCCAGCATGCATCCGCAGCACGTAAATACACCATTGATGAACTTACACTTGCGGCCCGAAGACCGCGGTAGCTTGATGAGCATTCAAGCAGTCTCCCGCGCAGCATCCGGAAGCTTCGACGCCGTGGGCGGACAAGGAGGAATACACGCCGCGGGTGGTGGGGGAGGGGCGCCGCGTCTATCCCGCGGCGCCGCCGCCGACGCGTCATCCTATTCGGGGGCCGAATTCACCATCGCGGTGCCCGGTAACGGGTCGTTTCTAAAACTGACCGCCGCCGCTGTGGAGCACCTGGCCCATCTCCTGTCCAAGTCTCAATTTAGGGAGATGCCCGTGTCTATGCTCCGGGAGCGGTGGGAGGGTGGCGTAGCCCGTGACGAGGCACGCCTCGCAAGGAGGGCCAGGGGAGAATTCGCCGGCGTGCTGCCGGGGAGGACCAAACGATGGAAGGAGTTTTACGGTTTGGAGTTCAACTGGGTGTTGGAGGAAGCCATGGGCGCCGGTGTCGTGGAAGTCTTTGAGACACGGAGCGTAGGTAGGGGAGTCCGCCTCCTGTGATACAGTGATCGTGGGTGAGACCCCGGAGTCCGTGTACGTCGTCTGCTGCAGCGGGGGAAAGGTTTTAAGCTTGATACCGTGGAAATCCCAAATGTTCTTCGACCAGTCGCTAGCGACCAGAGACACAATGTTGGGAACATCGGCGTCGATGAAACCTGCCTCTTGACAAGCTGCCGTGTCGCTTAGCCCCCCATCACGTCAACTTGACTGGGATGCCATGGCCGCCTCCTGGCATGTTCGTCCGAGGGTCGTTTCTCGGGAACATTCTTCGATGAGAGAAAAAATCATAGAGATAGAGCTACTGTAGCATAGTACGTATAACACACCCCGATTGAGTCAGTTGCTGTTGTTATCTGCTAACAGCGTTTCTTTCCGTAATTTGAGAAGAAAATTACTTCCCTACTCTCGAAATACATCATTGAACTGCTAGATAGACGGCAAACCCGTGAAGGTTGCGCGGCCAGCTTGAAAGGGGAACAAGCCTGTTGATTAGTGAAGTTTCCCCAGAACCCCGGCTCCCTGTCGATATCTGCCAAGCACGAAAATTGTTGTAGAGGGTGAAGGGTCGCACTTGAAGGCGAGGCGGAGGGTGATGCGGCTCCAGGTTCACCTAGGTAAATCCTAGGGCCTGGGGTTTGATCTTCCATGCTTCGCCCAGTCGCGAAGCATCGTGCAACTGGACCAACGTTTAGACGAGAACTGCCGGTTTTTAAATGTGACTTCGTTAGGTATAGGCTCTTGAGTCATGAACGGACCTGTGAAAGCCAGAGCATGAATGTCAACCGCCTCTCATCCGTTCTTTGCATCGATTTGCGTGCTGCTGTCAAAAGTTGAAAGGCTTGGGACCTAAAGGTGTAGTTGGTAGCAAAAAGCGACACACACCATTCGTTTTGCCTCCACATGGAAGACCAAACAACACACTGCATTGGCTGAGTCGCCAGAAATTTCGGTTTGTATTTGAGGTTTTCGAAACTTACACAAAGGCTGTGTGGAGAGAGGTACGATAGTGTATGTCCATCTGCAGCTAGTGTTCCAGAGTATAGTATTGTCCGAGCGAAGAAGACGTTGGCTCACAACTGTCAAATTGAAATGCTTGCCGTACTTCAGCCCGCCATCCGAGGTCGGGCGGGAGAGCAAAGAAAGCTAATCCAAATTCACCCAATCAGCCAAGATATCTCGGATGTTATGGCAGCCGTGCAAGAGTCAAGACACCTGGACTAGTCAGTGTATAGATAATATAGAGCTCATTAATCAAAAGAGCGTTTGTTTTGTCAGAAGCTCGCAAACACTCGGCAGAGATCGTCGGAAGGAACATGATCCAAGATCGACAGCCCCGTTGCCCCGTAGACTAGGCTCTTAGCCCACCAGGAAAAAGTATTGGAAACTCCAACATCCTCTTTGGGGGCGCAAGACGTTGCAGCTTGCCTGCGTGCATTAACCAAACGTAGAAAAAGCAAATTTGAGGTGCAGTATTGGGGAACGGATACCGACTTCAGTCCCAGTGAGGTAAATTGAGCTTGGGCCATCCATCGCCTGTGCTTCTAACTGAGCTCGTGGAACGCTCGATTTTGAACGGGACTCGAAGTTCCAAGCTCGCCAGTACAGGTACCGTTTTGATGTGGACAGAGGATCGAAGTGCTAAGCATGGTGAGGCACTTGCGCAACCATCCTGCGACGTGGGAATGCGGAGACGGAGCAACGCGGCAGAACGCTAGGTTCATCGGATGACGGGAACAGTGAAGTACGGGATGAGGTCTGGCAGTGATACATGAACGTCCGGCACGACGGCTCGCCGAGAGTGACCCGGTGTCGGGGGTTCTACCATCCCGCCCGTCATTCTCTGAACGTTTTCTGCTCGAACAACAGATAGATTGATGGCCTGAGCCCCAGACCCCACTGTTTAACTCCATCGTTTTGTATTACTAGAGGATTACCGCAGTATATATAGACGCTACCCTACCCTCGAATTCCGCACTATTTAACCTTAACTCTTTTTTATAAATTACTTATCTTTTCTTCTATTCTACCCTCTCCCTCATTAAAGAATTACTAAAATTATAATTTTAATAGCTTATTAATAAGTTAATATTATTATTTAAAAATAAATAACTTATTTTTATATATAAACGCTAAAAATCTTATTATTACAAAAATAATAATAAATATACTAAAGTATTTAAAAAAGCTTTTTAATAAATTTTTAATATTATTTAAAATAATTATTCTCGAGTTATAAAAAAAAGTTAAAGCGCTATATTAATACGGCCTTATTTGTTTTATTAATATTAATAATACTTTTTTTAGTATAGGATATATTAATAATACTTTATAATTATATTACTATATTTTATAAATCGTACTTAATAATAGTAAGGATTTTAGTATTTTTTTTTTAAGTTTTTTATTAAAGTTATTATTATAGGGTTAGTTTAGTTATTAATATTTTAATAAGTATTTTAACTTAGTATGCTTTTATAGCTCTTAATAAGAGGTTTTTAAAGGACTTATAATTAGATTTTTTATTTATTATAAATAAAATTATTATAGTTAAAGCTATAATAATTAAAACTATAGCGCTATTTACGGACTTCGATAATAAGTAGTTAATAATATAGTTATCTTTTTTTTATAATAAGCTTAAAAAAGTATTTTAATTTAAGTACTAAGTAAGTACTATACTATTTTATTAAAACTATATTCTTATACTTATGACTTAGAAAGAATTAACTTTCTTCGATAATAAGGTACTCAGAGCCCCAGACCCCAAGACGCAATGTCCAATGGTGCCAATCTGACCAGTTCGAAGGGGGGGGGGGGGGGCTTCGTAGGATTCGTGCGACAGGCCCAGGCTCTGTGAGATTGCCAGACCAGGGCCATGGTCGCGTTTTGCTTCATTGGCGAATGAGGTTCGGCGGGGAATGGACGAGGCTGCAGCAGTGCAGCTAAGGTGCTTGTCGTCACACAGACTTTTACGCCAACAGCGTCTTCTCCAACTCTGGGTCGTGCTAGGAAGCTTCCCGGAGACGGCTCCTGCAGTCGTGCAGAAAGTGTTGCATATGATGGCTGTTATCGAGGTCTTAGTTCGGCGTGCTTAGTAGAAGATTTGCGCACGGGGACGCCATAGATGGCAGCTCGTTGGCTGGAAGAGGTAGTGATGTGATGGCATCCGGAAATTACAGCGTGGTCCGTCCATATGGGGGTCTCTGGCAATTCGTAGACGTTGTTTGATTGCAACAACGGTTGGCACTTTAAAGTGTTTGCCCCCAGTCAGTCCATTTGCCGCGCTCTGTCCAATTGTTGATCGAGTCAACGTTGTCGAGGATTCTGTGGATTCGGGGACAGATCGAGAAAGCACCGAGGGTGATGAGCGGGTCTGAGGAAGATTCATGGAGATGGATCATGGGAACCCGAGCTGTTGGCGCTCGTGGGAAACCCGTACAAAGTAGGCTTCTTTGGGCGGTAGGAGTGGAGTGACGCGTATCCGTAGCTATACCTGGTATCCTGTGCTACCCAGAACACATACTCTGCACAAATTTGCGAGAGACAAAGAGGCAGACATGTGGCAGCACCATGTCTCGGCGTGGGATGGACAGGTGAGGCTGCGCAATATCACCACAATTCGTTACATGCGCACCTTGTGCTCTGGATGCTGACGGCGGACGCTTGCTACTCTGCTTGCTTGAGGGTTGGAAAGCACGCGCATATGCGTGCGACGGTGGTACGGAGCTCGCGCATGTGCATCCGCGTCTTGTCGTGGATCAAGTGCCGTCGGTCCCAGCGAGGTAGACGATCCATCATCCCACAAGCTCTCTCTCTTTCTCTCTCTCGCAGATGCAAGCCAGTTTGGGATTTGACAGCAGGGGTCTTGGAAGTATCCCGAGACCTAGGGACCAAGTAGTGGCCAGGAGTCAGGCCACAGAGCGGCGTGGCTTATCATCCAAGGACCATGAGGGAGGGATATAGTAGTGCCGTGTCTCGAGACACTTGTGCTTGTGCAGTGGGAAGCAATGCTCATGGTCCAAGTGCTCGCGCAGTCTCTCGCGATTAAAGGGGCGTCCTAATGTGCCGAGTACCTCTGATGCTGGTAGCTCGTGGCGGCACCGTGTATATTCTGGGACTAAGCTGGAAAGGGATTTCCCCCTTGCTGTTCCTGAGTTGAGCGATGGTCCTTGCTGGGGATGTGACAGGGGTAGAATCTCCAAGTCTGGGTACCAATTTGACGATGATCAGACTAGCGAGGGAAAACTTCCTGGGTTGGGCTGCGGGCGTTGTGATGAGTGGTGTATTTCTTGGACGTTGTCTCTAGTACCTGACTAGTTGCCGATGGGGAAGCAATTCGTGACGGAGTCGAGAGAGGAGAGAGAAATAGTGCTTTTGTTCTTGAAAGTCCATCGTGGCCGGAGAGAGAGTTGCACGTGCTAATCGAAGTGTGAATGGCGGGGACGGGAAATCACAACCGTGTTGCACGCCCTCCTCAGCCCTGACCGGCCAGCTGGAGGGGTGAAAAGAAAATGGAAGTGAAAATGGGAAGAATCGAGACGAAGGCAGGGAATGACACAGACACGAGAAATACAAGCGATAAACGGGGGCAAGGTCGCAGAAGACCAGGGGAGGCAACATCTCTCTTTCGTCTCCCTCCCTCCTCCCCTTTCTGTGTTTATTGGTATTTGGCACGAGTATTTCGTACATGGATACGTATTTGCCCATCTCACCCGTGACCCCGGTTGTATCCTGTCTTCTCCTTCCTTTTCCCCCCTCACATTCAGCCAAGGTACTTTAGAATACCTACCTAGTTCTGGGGAACAAGCTCTTTCTCGATTGACTCAGAGACGACGACTATCTCTTTCCTCTACGATTTGCAGATATCACGTCCCGCAATCTTAGTTGACGCTGATATCGAGGATCGTCACTTTGTCACTGGGTTTGGCAGCTTATCCCTCTATTCCTATTGCGCAATACTTCCCGTTGTCGGCATATCCAAGCACAACTTTTTGTGGATTCCTCACAAGCTCCCGTCCAGAAAAAGCAAAGAATGGTTTAACGGTACGTACAAGGGTCCACTGTTTTTTACACTCCTGCACCCTGTCACTTGTCCGCTACTTTGCCCCGGGCAAGTAGGACCAACGAAGAGAGGAGGAGCAGACGGAGAGGAGAAGAGGAGGAGGAAGGTGCTCTCTCTTTTGTCCAGGTTCTTTCCCACTCGCAATAATAGCAAAAGAGAAAAGGGAAAGAAAGAGAGGAAGGAACGTCCAACATTGGACATCCTTCGCATCGAGGACGCGCCTAACACGGAACAGACCTTTTCGAGGAAAGGATCCCACTGGTCTGGAACACCTCGACTCTCGACCTCTTTCACTTCCAAAGTTCTCCCCCTCCTGCCTGCCGCCCACGTTTACACTACGTCTACTTTCACGACCACGTCCGTCCACATTCAGATCGCTCCCAACTTATCCGACGGATCTGCCTAGTACCTTCAGCCACTCCTTCACCTTCCTCGCGCCGCCCACGTCGTTGCACATAGCGGCCATTTCCCGCTTACATTGCCGCCCACTGCACTAATCGCACCGAAACGCACTTTTCATCACCACATTCACTCACGCCTTCTCCATTTTCTCGACCAAACACTCCTTACTCATCTCGTCTCGCTGTGCGCTTTTACGCTTTGCGTCTCCTTTACCTTGCCCACGGGACGCCTCAATTAACCTGACTCTTTGCCTTGTACGATTCCACCGCCGCCGCCTCCTCTTCTTTACCTTAACCTACGGATTACTCCGCCAAGACCAAGAGACGCAAACAAGCCCAGCGCTCGAGACTCGGATCTCTCCTTTCCACAAACCATCGCAACCCCATCGGCATCACAGAGCTCATCGCATCCGCCAGCTCTCAGACTTGACGCAATTCCGTCCCAACTCTACCTTACCGCGGCCCCGGTCGAATATCTTTCCGCACTTCGTCACCCAAACTCTGTGGACTTGTTTCCTACTTCTCCTTTGTGAAGCTCAGACGCTCCGAAGCTACAGCGAATCCGCGTTCGCAAATCCCGCGCCCAGCTCTGCTGTCGAAACATTTCCACTCGACGAAACCAACCCCTTCCCTTCCTCCCGCGTCCACCTCAATTTTTTGCCTTTCCCCGACCTGCCGCCCAATCTGAGTACCCGTCGCCATCCCAGTCCTGCGACTTTAGCTGCGCGAGACACCAGAGGCACCGTGCTCTGCAGACAGCCCACGAAAAAGAAACCCCAAGCCGTACGCCGCCCGCCGCCCGCTAGCGCAAGGAATACAGCTCGACGACAAAAAATCCACTACAGTCAGACCTTTGTTTTCCCTCCACACTTGCTTCCAACAGAGCCGACAGGGTCCCGGTTTGAACCGCAAGGAACACTCTACGAGACATACGAAGCCACCTCAATCCCAGGATTCCCCCTTCAAATCGCTCGACGCTGCCTTTCTCTCTTCTCACCAACCCCATCTCGGCCCACCACCAAACACGACAACACAAGCGTTGTCCACTGAATCATATTTTGGTAAGTTTTTTTCCCTTTGGTTCTTCCTCCCTGGTCTTATCCGCTCCGCCCCTTGGGATCGCCCTTATGCCGGCGCATCTGCAAGTCATGCCCAAGTCCCGTGCCCGCTGCCTTAATTGTCATGGTCCAGGTGCACTGACAACCCTCCTGACAGTCGAGCCCCCAATCCGATGAAAACTTCCCACCTCACTCTGTACACCCTCAACGCATAATAACGTTTCATACGTCCCTGTTCTCGAATTGGTCCAGAGTACTGGGATACAGGCATATTCGCAGGCCAGGTCCCCGTCCACACTCGTGGTTTTCGGACGAATACAACCCACGCGGAAGACGTCCCTTTATCGACGTAATCAACATCCCGACGATCACCCACCCTCTTCCACCCT